TAAAAGTAGCCTATTAATTAAATAATACATATCGTAAGTGGAAAAATGAGTGAAATCTTCTCAATACAGTTGAAAGCTGGGCATGATGTGATTCTTAATGAGACTAAAAAGAGACTAATCGTGTAAACCACAAAATGCAACAATGTAACAAATCGGATTTTATTTTATTTTGTTTGTGATTATTTATGAGGTAGTTTACACACATTAACACAGCCATTCCAGAATAACTCGCATATCAGCAGCTTTTAATTTAATACAGTTAAATCTAACCTTTGAAGCCTGAATCATACTTTTTTGTTTTTTTTAATCTGAGCTAAATGTGTGGATATGAGATTCTGCAGCGCGCCTGTAGAGGGCGCTGTGTGAGGGAGCTGCGCATGCGCAGTGGTCTTTGTGTACTTCCACATTGACTCGGCTCTTCTCGAGACCTTCTGCGTTTTAATCCGACGCGATGAGCTTTTATTTACTGGAGTTTTACACGTAGACAGACTGAGCTTCTTCACTCCGCAGCAGGATGAGAGCGGCGGGGGATTAATATAAAAGTAGCCTATTAATTAAATAATACATATCGTAAGTGGAAAAATGAGTGAAATCTTCTCAATACAGTTGAAAGCTGGGCATGATGTGATTCTTAATGAGACTAAAAAGAGACTAATCGTGTAAACCACAAAATGCAACAATGTAACAAATCGGATTTTATTTTATTTTGTTTGTGATTATTTATGAGGTAGTTTACACACATTAACACAGCCATTCCAGAATAACTCGCATATCAGCAGCTTTTAATTTAATACAGTTAAATCTAACCTTTGAAGCCTGAATCATACTTTTATTTATTTTTTATCTGAGCTACTGTAAATGTGTAGATATGAGATTCTGCGGCGCGCCTGTAGAGGGCGCTGTGTGAGCGGAGCTGCGCATGCGCAGTGGTCTTTGTGTACTTCCACATTGACTCGGCTCTTCTCGAGACCTGCGTTTTAATCCGACGCGATGAGCTTTTATTTACTGGAGTTTTACACGTAGACAGACTGAGCTTCTTCACTCCGCAGCAGGATGAGAGCGGCGGGTTATCGACGCTTTGTTCAGTGCACACACAATGTCTGAATGCATTAATGTGTCGTTTACTAATTATAATGTTGCGACTTGAAAACTGAAAGCGTCAAGGTGAGAAACATCGTTTTCATGCAGTGACGTCACGTATTGTTATTAATCTGGATTTGGATCTTGTTTTGGTTTTGTTATTCTCAAATGATTTGTAATGCTTAATTTAAATTTTTTAAATGAGTTAGTAGAGACCGGGGTTAGTTGTCACATGGTCAGGTTGTCACGTGCTGTAATTTTATGTCTAATTACATATTCTTTAGGCCAAAACTGGTTTGGTATATAATTATGTTATTAATATATAATTAAATAACATACTGGAATCCTGTGTAAATGTGCAATAATTTATTTTAAAATACTTTGTGTGTACATTCTTAGTTATATCATGAGAATTATTCTCTGAAATATATAGTGTGACAACTAGCCCCGGTCTCCCTCACATGAATGCACTTTATGGTCCGCACAGTAATATTGCTGGTGTTTCATTGCTCTTTCTCCGAAGTTACTCTGTTTATGAGGAACCATAAACGCTCAAAGTG